TTAGTCTAATGTTAGCTGTGTACCAGATTCTTCGTAATATTTTCTCACAAACAAAAGCTTCACGAGTCAAAGAATCAGATTGCCAACAGTTTAAAAGGAGAGGCCCAGAAGTTGTAGCTCAATTCTTGCTAAAGCAGCTTGGCGAGAGAATAGTGTGTAGTATGTGGGCACAGTACAGTATATCTTAGATTTTCGTTTAAATTGGAAACTTTAAAAATAATTAGGATAAAAGCAATAATGATATAACACCACAAAATCGTAGATCTAAAACTCTAGGTCCGAAACTGCTTGATCCGAAACCACTAGATACGAAACCACTAGATATGAAATCTTAGACACAAAACCTTAGATACAAAACTAGCTACACGGGTGGGTCAAGAGAACTATCGTAACACTAGAGGAGTGAAGACAGTGACCTAGTCGAGGCATTCAAGGTGCATGGTACACACTCAGAATAAGTGAAATTAAACTCAGCTATGGTGCAAGTATTATACTGCAATATACAGAGAATGTCTCGATACTGTGGCTGTGAAAAAATAACCCAACCCAGATGGATGATATTCAGTAGAATGAGTGACAATGTTTTGGTCTGTCCTTGACTTAATTAGGGTTGAGGACAGACCAAAATGTCAAAATTTCAGTTTCATTTCTTATAATATGTGGGTTGGGTTCACTGTATCTTGCAGTGAGAGATGAATCACGCTGGGTGATTAGCAAAGAGGTAGAGCCTACAATCTGGAACTCGGTCTTGGAAAACGTACGTGTGTGCAATACACACACATACTAGTACATGCACAAACACACACACACACACACTCTAACTCCCTTTCTTGCTTCTTATTTACCTCATTCTTATTCCTTCTTGCCTCATTCATTTTCTCTTTCCTCTTCTTTCTATCCCCTCAATTTTCTTATCCCTTCTTTTCCACTCTATCTAATCATCTTTTATGTTCCCCTCCCTTATTTATTTATCTTTTCCAAGTCCAATTTTCAGGTGTGGAGTTAAACCATGAAGCTTGGAATACCTTACTTTTACCATCTCTTCTTTTATTCAATGAAGGGCTGGTCTTGCGTTTGTAAGCTGGAATTGTAACACTATTTCTCATGTATCGATATTGGCTGGGTCTTGACTTTAAATGATGCAAATAAAATACGGGACATCTTCTGAATACAGAAATTAAAGTTTGATTTTGGGGTACGCAAGTTTGTATTTTATTAACATATTTTTTTATTATTATTAAACCAAACAGGCCAGCAAGACTGTTTTTAATAAATTAGAATCTTTCTGCTATAATTAACCTTTCACTTAGTTCGGAGATGAACGTTGTTGGGTTTTAGTGCTTGGGAAGCGAATAAATTCAGATCTCTTGTTTAATCGGAAATATGTTAGATGACGAAGTGTGTGTGTGTGTTTCTCATATTTAATTAGCCCCTTTTTTGACAATGTTGGTGTTTTAATTCGATTGTTCGGTTATGTCAGTGTTCATCTTTATGTATTTGACTGGTGTCTGGGGTCAACTTAGTCTGTGGTTGCTGTATTGTAGGGTTTGATGGTCACTTTTCACAGGTAACGGCAGGATATTATATTGTTTACCATGATGGTTGATATCAGAAACAATAAGATTCAACCAAGACTGAATGGCACCTCTTAAAAGTTTATCTTCTATATTTTCACCAAAGTTTTTTTAATTGTCATTGTGAGAGCAGAGGCATGAAGGTGAGGGTGAGGAAAAGTAGATTTTTTGGTATGAATCTTACCGATATTCTTAAGAAGGCAATACTGTACTGGCATCCTGAATGCATCTCTTCATTTTTTAACTTCAACTTAAAAGATCTTGTTTTCAATGATGTTCATGAAATTGATATGAAATTTGTTAATATTTTTCAATAAATAACACAGCAGCTGTGTGAGAGAGAGTTTAATTTTTGTTATTTTATGGATTAATATTGGGGTGCTCATAGATATTTTAATTATGTAATTGTTTTGTGTGTTGTAGTGCACCCTATAGTATGGAGTATTTAATCATTTCTAGTGTAACTTAACTATTCCAATATCTATCCCCTAGTCTTAGACCCAGGGATCACAGGTCATATACTTTGACCTCTGTAGTTATCCAGTGTTGACCTGGGCCAGAATTCATTAAGCTTTTTAGTGTTCACTTACAAAACCTGTGCGTGTTTCCTTGATCGTGGTTGCTTAGTCTGTATTTATTAAACAGTTTACGAATTTTGAAACTTCACAACCCAAGGTCATTAATGTTATGGACAACCTTGTAGCACTTTGGAGCTCATGAACTATTTATAAATGCAAACTTAGCCAACATGATTGAGGAATGACGTACAGGTTTCCTGAGAGGTTGCGTGAAAACTTGATAAATCCTGGTTCCAACTTGGGCGCTTGCCAATGTTAGATCACTCATTGGGTTTAAATTAATGGTGGTACTCTTCAATAAATTTGAATATTCTTTCGTGTGCTTTTCAGTTTTGTTAGTCATTAATAATTATTTACAGGAAATAGATGAGGATATTTAATTTTTATGCAGCACACAAAATGCTGTGGCCAAGCCTCTTAAGAGGTTGGCATGTCAAAGATGGGCTGCCCTAAAGTTTTAATTTGTAATCTATTGAGTTAATAGCTAGGCAGGTGGGCCGTGGTGGCCCCCCTCACTAGCCGTTGGACACATTCGGGAAGCAATGCAGTCACGATGCTTCAGTTGTATAATACAAACTTATTGCCAGTCAATTTTCCCGCCTTTCTTAAGGATGCTCTTTATCAAATGCATTTTTTTCTTTATGAATTTAATTTATTCTGGAATGATTGCCTGTTTTAACTTAGTATCATTCTGTGCAGATATTTTTAGAATCTAATTGGATATATTATACATATACACTATATATATATATATGTAAGAGGTTTCCAAAGAAATAAATTTTGAATGAAATAGAGCTTACAATGGTGGTTTCATGCAATTATTTAGCAGATTCTCTTTAAATATTGATACAATTATTTTCTACATTCAAGTATCTACTGTATGTAATTATTTCATCAAAGATCTTTTTTTTTTTTTTAATGCATTTATGTTGGCTACACTTCACAGTTTGTTTCTATAATACTTTGTTGACTACACTGGATGAGAAACGTATATACGTAAATAGATTGATACAATGGATGCATATTTACATACTTAGTTGAGCTTATTGTACAGTATATTAACCTGTATTTTCAAAATATCCTGAATGCCAAGACGTATGTTGTTTGATATGACATTACTTGATAGGTACACAAGTCATTTATGCTCGTGTTCTTATGCTTGGCTTCAATCTTCTGCAGAAACTATTAATATACACAATTTACACAACTAATGCCTTAATGTGACGGTCATTGATCTAACAAAGCAAGGATGGTTATGAAATTCATTTAAGCTTACACATTGGAATTTGAATACTTGCATAGTAATGCATTTATATATGTACACATGCTTACATTTTCATACTCGCATGCATGCACAGCATGTTTATATATGCACACAGAGCATGGTTACATGTAGACACACAGCATAATTGTTATGTGCATGCAAAGCATTTTTACACGTGCACACACACAGCATGGTTACACGTGCACGCACAGCATGCTTTCGATACACATACCATATGATTACATGTTCATTGTGTTTACATATGCACGAAAACTATGATTATACATGCATGAACATCATGCTTACAAATGAACATACAATATGCTTATACATCAACATATAACAAACATGTATAGATAGATACACATATACTGTACGTGCATGTGTATATTCTCATGTTTATATTTGCACGCACACACTATATTATTCAAAGATTGGTAAGGAAGGCATCATTCCTCTAGCTACAATTAAAACCAGAGGTCATTCAAATGCACAAAACAATAATCATAATATAGATATGAGAAAGCATTTTTTCTCATAGTTGTGGAGAGCTGAATAGTACTGCGGGATGAAGTGGTGTGTGCAAAAAGCAACGAAGACATAGTCCTAAGATAGTCCTCTAAGAGTCCAGTGAAGATAATCCCTAACGCTAAATGTGCAGTGGAAGTCGGGACGACACGAGCTTGAGCTCTTATCCTGTAAAGCGCAAATAGGTAATCACAAAGGCATTGCACCTTTGGCTAGGGTGACCTTGAGAAACAATGGGCTTCCTCACCCTACCATGGTATATACAGTCTATGCACTAACAATCCACTTGTTTATTCCAAGTTGCATGTACTTTGGGCCTGGAACTGGGCTTCGGCCTCAAGATTGTGTGGCAGTGATGGCGAAGTAGGTCACAATGTGTTCCACACAAAGGCACCTCAAAATCATGCCTTTGTTCTATCCACCTTCCTGAATAATGCCATTATTTCCCCACAAACCCACCAAAATCATGCCATTATTAAAAAAAAAAGCCAATCAATGAGTGGAATGGACCCCTTAAGCAGTAGCATGTGCTCAGACCACTATAAACTTTTAAATTTGTTTTTGATAAATTGAGAAATTGGGGATTTATGAGCATAGCTCTTCTCTTGTAAGTAAAACATACATGTATTCATAAGTAAAACTTACATGTATACATTGTGATATGTGTGCACTCAAATTCTGCATGATTAAACTTGAGACATTCCGTACAATTCAATATTGTGTAGTTAAAAAATGCAGTAGACTTTTGCGATACATCTGGGTGTGCCATAAAGGAGTTCTTTATAGTTCTTAATTGTTTTTATCCAAATCTTGAGTTTTATTTTATTGGATTTATCCACAATTTTTATTCAAAGATGATGGTTTAAATGAGAATCTCTAGTATGATTTCATGGGACTTCCCACAGCACCGAGAAAACTTTTAATCCTTTTAAATATAGATTATCAGTGCTTCAGAATGCTTTGGCAATCTACTACATAGAAATACTGAAATATTCAAATATTGTTTTGGAATGGAATTATTGTCCATAATTTGATGAAGCATGCAATTTCTTGCAGGTCTCCTTCACCAGAACCCATCTATAATAACGAGGGGAAGAGGCTAAACACAAGGGAATACCGCACACGTAAGAAGCTGGAGGATGATCGCCACAATTGTATTACGAGGATGATGAGCATTAATGCTGATTATAAGCCGCCTGCCGATTACAAGTGAGTGACCTAGCAATGATATTTTTAAAGAATGTTATATATCTTTTTTTACTGCTACTTTCCCATGGAACTATACTTGGACTGGTTGGGACGCTTCTTGCAGGGTCAGTGTTCAATCCCCGGTGGTCCGAGTGGTTGGGCACCGTTCCTTCACTCCGTCCTCGTATCGCAGTTCTATGTCCTAATAGTGACCATGCACTTGGATTGGTCAGTACAGCGACAGCCTCGCTTTTTCTGGAGCTGATGTTTGCTCCCCACAGATGGAAAGAACAGTGTTATTTAGGTGCAGGATTTCAAGTCTGGATCTGTTACGGTTTTGTTAGTGGTTTTTCTTCCTCTACAGGAGGAACTTATACTGTACCAAAAAGTTATACAGTTTATAACTTGTATAACTTTTGGTATACAACTTACACCAAAAGTTGTAAAACTTTGCAACTAGATTAGTACTGTTCCAGAATTGATTGGCTTTCAGGTCAGGTTAAATGAACTGAATCTTAGTTCTAGAGAAGAGGAGATATAATTGCTACATCTAAGATAATGAGAGGAATTGGTAAAATGGACAAGGAAACAAAAAAAAAAACAAAAAAAAAAAAAAAATGGTTATTTAACTCATGAGAAAGAACATCAGTGGAAGCTGGTCAGTGAAATGTCTGGAAAGACTCATACCTTGTATGGATTGTGAAGTTGAGTGCAATGAAAGATATTAAAGATATCGTTAAGATATTTCCATCCACAACTTCGAGAACAGATATGACCTACTTTCTTTAGTACGTTTCCAATTAAAACCTATTAAAATAAGTCTACATGATTCCTAGCAAAGTAAATCCTAACCTATTCTAAAGGTAAATAGTTACTCCTTTGGTCTCCACTATACAGTAGTTAATTTAATATTCCTCTTTGAACCTATTGTTTTGTTTGTGATGTTGTCACTTAATACGAGAACATTCCCTTTCCTAATTTGCCTTTTTTCATATGATTTTACTGTCGTCGTCCTTCATATGTGCCATTACAACAGTTTGGCTGTTTTATGGCACTAATATATTCTCAGAATGCTGATGTTGCTCTTGTCTCGGGGTATAATTAATTGTTGGCATCTTCAGCTCTACCATTTTGATTTTGTTCCTTTCTACTTCTGATCTTTTTCCTGGATGAGTTAGCCTTATGCTCCTTGTCTATCTTCTTCCTTTATGGGATGAATTGTTTGGCTGCTTTTGTAAACAAATTTCAGGGAAAGGGTATGTGTATTTTTAAGTGTTCCATAATTTTGTATCAAGGACTTCCTATGGAATAGGAAGGATTTGTATTTTTAAAAATGGCATTTGTTTTGTAAGATAAAATGGCATGGGTGACCAAGGATTCTTTCCTCATTGGCTAAAAAAAAAAAAAAAGTACTGTACATGGAATTTATTTATTTACAGACCACCAGTCGTGAAAGTGTCGGACAAGGTAATGATTCCCCAAGAAGAGCATCCAGACATCAACTTTGTTGGCCTTTTGATTGGTCCTCGTGGAAACACACTCAAGGCGATGGAGAAGGACACCGGGGCAAAAATAATAATTCGAGGCAAAGGATCTGTAAAGGAGGGCAAGGTAGATATATATATATATTAATGCGTGTGCAGAGAATAAGTCACAATGTACCTGAAACAAATAACCTGAACCACACACAGGAAAAGAAAGCTAAGTGATGCTGTTTTGGTCCATCCTGGGCCCCTCGCCAAGTTGTGATGCAACTTCATGAGTGTCCAGGATGGACTAAAATGCCTTTACTTTCCTTTCTTGTCACCTGTGTGGGATGGGTTATTAAAGTGTGTACATACAATGGGGCTTCTTGACAGGAGTGTTTCATTACAGTACTGGTACATTGGTATATTTTTCCCAGATAATATTATTGATTGTTTTGCCACTTCAGTTCTGGATGATATCCAGAGAACGACTAGACATAAAGCACAGCTTGCTGTTGAAATTTAGTGTAACCCCTAAAGGCCATATTTTTGTTTTTCTGTTGGTAGTATTGTCTTTGTACATTGATCCCTGCATTGGATACATCAAAATTTTGGCCAACTCAGTCATACCAGTTAAAATGGCAGACCCAGAAATAGGAATGACTTTCAAAATCCCAACCACTTCACAAAACACCTCTAGAATATAAACAAACTAGAGCCACATTGAGGCCATAGAATAAAAGAGATGATGGTGGATACCAAAATCAATAGTAGTTTCGAAGCTTCGTTTGATCATTATAGGGAAGATGGGATATCGTAATCATAGTTCTCATCCTGTACTTAATAGGGAGAAAATTGTGCCCCCATGTGGCCCACGTTGCTAACCACAGCTCTAGTATGTACCCTACCTTGAGTACCCTGGGTACTGTTTGGCCAGCTCCAGCTTATTCTACTAGGAAGTAGACTTGAAATGTGTGTATTGAATGTAACCTGAAAGTTAGATGAATTTTGAAAGTCAGTAATATTGTCAGTTATGAAGAATGTTTTTAATACTTGTCCACTTTGACAAGTATTTTGTCCTACCTTGTTGGTAGGACAAAGGCCTCCTATCTTGAGTTTGGATCTCCAATGATTCAAATGAGTGAAACTTACCAATTATATTACCTGCTGGTTTTATCTTTGTGGGTTAAGTGACATTTCTTCTTAAAAGATGATATTAGAAGCATATTCTTCATACTGTATTGTAAAATTTAATCTTGTGATGTAATTTGGTTTGTCAGGTTGGACGCAAGGATGGTGGGCCGATGCCGGGAGAAGACGAACCTTTGCATGCCTACGTTACTGCCAGCAACCCTGAGAGTGTCAAGAAGGCTGTTGACCGGGTAAGTTTTGCTAGCTCTAACGCTATATTATGTGGCATGCATAACGCAAGCCAGGGTGTGAATGACTTGCTACCTCTGCTGTCAGTAGATACCTCTTAAACTCAGACTCAAATGGGCTTCTGAAAAAACCTTGAATTTCATTCGTAAGATTATAATGGAAATGGTTCTCTTTTAAAACGTAATTGAAAATATGAAAATGGTTCTCGTAGAATCTTAAAAATAATATTTGACGTTGTAAACCAGTTATTTATTATTAAATACATGCCCACACAATCCTCATGATGCACGAAATACACAAATAAGCTGGTCACATCCTTCACAAAGACAATGATGACATTGCGATTGAATTAGTAATAAAATATTACTGTACAATGATTTTTTTTACATTGGAGAAAATTTTTATTTACAATATACTGTACTTCCGGGCTCTTAAGAAAACTTGTACATTATAGTTTTGAACCTATGTTATGGTGATTGAGCCTGGCCCCTGGCCAGACTTTGGAAGTAGAAGAACTTCTAGAACCCTCTCCAGGTAAACTCATCAGACCAGACCAAAATTGGAATAAGTAGCAATAGTTTGGTGTATCCAAATGAAGAAACTATGAAGTCAGAAAGTGTGCAGTAGGTCATGCTATCAAATGTGTGGGTTCTATAGCACAGTGGTCTACAGTTGATGGATATGGGTTCAGTTCCTGGGCGGGTCAGAAAAATTGAAGCATGTTTCTTTTATCTTTGTGACGCTCTTTCATCTAGCAGTAAAATAGGGGCCTGGGAGTTAGTGAGCTGTTGTGCATATCTTGGGGTGTTGTACTCGCCTAGTTGTGCTTGCGGGGATTGAGCTTTAGCTCTTTGATCAATATCAGTATTTGGTCTGTTGTGTGTGTGTGTGTGTCTTGGGGGTGTTGTGTGTCAACTCCCACCACAGGTGGGAGTAAGGTGGGAGCTAACACCCCCCCCCCCAACCAAGGGGTAGTGGGGGCTTGATATCCTGAAGGCTTCATGTCCCCAACAATTGGAATTAAATGGGTACAGATGATGAGTCACATCAACAGCTTAAGAATGTTGACCAAACCACACACCAGAAGATGAAAAGATGACAACGTTTTGGTCCGTCCTGGACCATTATCAAGTCATTATCACAATGGACTTGATAATGATCCAGAATGGACCGAAACATTGTCGTCTCTTCATCTTCTGGTGTGTGTAGTTTGGTCAACAATTAAATGGGTCTTGAAATGAAAAGTTTGAGATTTCATTAAATTAAGAAAATTGCAATGGAAGGTAAGGTAATTAGTAGGAGAAAGTGCTAAGCCATTCTGCCTATATAGCACTTGGAAGGGGTCAGGATAAGACAGAGGGAAGAAATGGTGCCCAACCTTTTGGACAGTTGGGGACTGAATGCTGACCTGTTAAAGGCAAGACTGTCACTCTGCTGTCCTGTTCAAGTAGTTGGCTTTAGAAGTAGTAATATATTAAACATTTCATGGCACTGCCCAGTTAAAACAGAACATACAGGTTCAAACAGACATCAAAGGAAAATGGCAAAATACGGAAGAAATTTTAAGCAGAATTTTTGACCGAAAGACACTTCACAATGATGTATGTAAATGTGAAAAACGGCTTTTGAGTAAATATATTAAATGTGTGGAAAGTGACAGAACCCACAGGCTTATTTAATTGTGTAGACCACAATACTTTAATAACCACATGTACACGAAGCTTTCATGAATGTTCAACCTGTCCTCTCAAAAAGTACATGGCATTTTGAAGTATAAATCTCCAACATCAAAATATGATGTGCTGTGAATCATAGTGGCTTGCAAGATTGACTGGCATCATGGGTCCTAGGCTAGGTTCGGGCAGGTTAGGTTAGGTTAGGTTGGGGCAATTTAATGTCGTAGTTGTGACGTGACAACTCGAGAGGATGTGCTGATAAGTTTACTGTACTTGTTTTTTAGTTTCCAGGGTTTAGAGTTAAGTATTTACACAACCGTTTACAAAACCTGCAAATCTTTCCTTAACATGGCAACATTGTTTACATTTATTAGATGAGCTTGGGAACTTCACAACCTAAGGTTATTTTTGTTATAAAAAGTCTTGTAGTGGTTCGGTGCTCATAAACTGGTTAATAAATGTAAACACAGCCGTCATGATTGAGGAGAGATGTACAGGTTTTGTAAGTAGTTGCGTACATGATGAATCCTGACTCGGGTTCTTCATAATTTCTGATGAATTGTTTATTGAATGAAAGTTTTTTCATATTTATAATTCATTATTCATTTTTGCTCAGTTTGTGTTTTCACCCATGTGTAGTGTTTACTTGTGTGTGCAGTGAGGCTCTAGTAAATGCTCTTAATTAATGAAGTAATCTGAAATTTGCATTTAACACAAATATACACATTCTGTACCATATCATTTTTTCAATCTAAATTTGACTTTTCTATGCTTAAGTAGGAAATTAAATAATTTAATGCAAGCAAATAGCATATTAATTAGATTCCATTTTCTCTAGATAAAGGAAATTATTCGACAAGGCGTTGAAGTACCCGAAGGCCAAAATGACTTGAGGAGAATGCAGCTGAGAGAGCTTGCTCTTCTTAATGGTACGTTACGTGAGAATGATGGACCAAGATGCTCCAATTGTGGGTCAAATGCTCATAAGTCATGGCAGGTAAGATTTTTACCCATATAGTATTGTGTTTAACATTTGAGAAGTTTTTGTTTATTTTTTCATGTGTGCTTTTTACGGAAGGTTTTTGTATTTTTCACGGATGCATTTATTTCTCCATCTATAAAATGCTGCTAATGTTTAGAACTTCAATTATTTAACACAAACACTTGTTGGTAGCAAATGTATTCAAAGTAACATTTAATCTCTCATTGGTAGCTAAGGTATTGAAAGAAACATTTTCTTCCCCAGTGCCCAGACAAGCCAAATGTGACAAACAATGTGGTGTGTACAAGCTGTGGTGGCACCGGTCACATTGCCAAAGATTGTCGACAACGACGTGGCCCTGGTGCTCCCGCATCTGTTGACAGGCAGAAAATTGATGAAGAATACATGTCTCTTATGGCAGAGCTAGGGGAAGGTCCCCCACCGCCTCAAAATAATGATCGGAACAGTAATAGACCGACATCCACTCCAACCACCAGGAGTCTTTTTGAACGTCCTCAGGGGGCACCTCGTCCTCTAATGGGTCCACCACCTCGCTCGGAACCACAGCCATCTGTAAATAATCAGTTTAACAGTAGTAATCAGAACCAGGGAGGAATGAATCAGCAGAATTCATGGAATTCCAATCAAATGGGAGGGCAAGGTCCACGTCCTTTGCTTGGCAACAACAGCAATGGTCCTCCCAATCTGACTCAGCCACCACCAGTAATGCCGTGGCAGCAGCAGCAGCAACAACAGCAACAGCAGCAACAACAACAGCAACAACAGGCACAACAACAACAAGGTTCAAACAGTTTTCCGGGCGTGCCACCTCCAAATTTGCTGCAGGCACCACCGCCTCCGCCACCACCTGCAGCACAGAATGGACAGCAGCAGCAGCAGCAGCCTAGTTGGATGGCTCAGGCTCCACCAGGCCCACCTGGGGGTTCACAAGGCCCCCAAGGTCCTGGAACTCATGGTGGACCTCACGGTGGACCTCATGGTGGACCAACCAATGGTCCACATGGTGGTCCACATGGTGGGCCTCATGGTGGACCTCACGGTGGACCACATGGTGGACCACATGGTGGGCCTCATGGTGGGCCACATGGTGGGCCACATGGTGGGCCTCATGGAGGACCTCATGGAGGGCCACCACATGGTCCCCCTCCACAAATGAATCACTGGCAAGGACCACCTCCAGGTTCTCATCACGGGCCTCCGGGAATGGGTTGTCCTCCACCTGGACCAGTACCACCACCACGCCCTGTAGGACCACCCCCAGGCTGGGGTTGGAATGGCCCGCCACAACCAGTTGGGCCACCACCACCACCACCACCTGGTGGCCCGGGAGGTCCGGGTGGCCCTGGAGGTCCGGGAGGACCTGGGCCCAGGGGACCTGGTGGTGTCGATCTGGGAGCCCTTCTCTCTGCACCACCGCCTCCCCCACCATCTTAGATATCTTTCTAAAGCAGTACAAATCGTCCCCTGCCACTAATTCATGCCTGCCCAAGGAAAGTAACTTCTTTTGGCTGTACAGACTTATGCATATGTGTACAAGTACTTGAAAGGACTGTTGCTCCTTCTCAATTTCAACTCATTCCGTAATGAGGGTTATTATCGAGTATTTGCAAAAGGGTGTCTTAGTAAATGTGCATCTGGTAAGCTCACTAATGCTATAAACTTTATTGTACAAATCTCTCTTTTTATGAATGAATAGTGACCCCCCTCAAAACCCTCTGTAAAAATAATGATATCTTTACAAAGACATGTAACTATGGAGCTATATTTCTCTGTTGTAGTAGATTTAGACAATTTTGTCATTCTACTCTAAATTGCACACTTGATCTATTTTGTGTTTGTTTATTTCCATGAGACAATTACAAGCATTACCTGCAAATTTAACTAAAGGAATGTAACAAAAAAACCTGAATAGGTTTGCACAGCAAAATTAAAAATGTGATATATGTTGAGAAAATATTGAAGCAGAACAGTGAAATGAAATCTGCATTGCTGACCTCCTAGTCGAGCCAAAAGTGCGTGTGTTGGGGGAGTTCAAGGTGTGGGTTTGATCCCATTGTACGGCTTCAGTATTTTCTTGATTTTTCATTTTAATTTAAATGATAATCTTGAATCATCTCCAGTGTAAAATATTTTTGTTACTGTCAGTATGCATATCGAGTTTCTATCAATTTAGAAATTGCATAATTCAGATTGTAATACAATACAGGACTTTTAAAAGACTTATTGCATAAATTAATGTAAAATACCTGAACAGTGAATAAGGCAATTGTCTGATGGAAGCAAAGATGCCTAATACATCAGGTAATTGTTAACAAATTAAGAGTCCTGCAGACATTTCACAGAATAGTGTTGTCACTAAAAAGTTACGACAAAATAACAAAAAGTGACATCTGATATATACTTTGAAGTACAGTACTGTAAAAGTACTATGAACCTGAGACTATTTTTGCTTTATCTGTAAAATGGTGGTACTACTATTGTATGACTTTTGTGATCAACTGTTGACGTAAACAAAAAAAAGTATTGTAAAGTATTTTGAAGTTAAAATGTTCATAAAAGCACTGACAAAAATGACTTTGATTAACATGACACTTGAGAAAATCAGAAGCCATGACCAGGATTTGAACACGCTCACTAGGTACTGTACTCCCAAGCACATGCCCCAGACCACTACACCTACACCATTGCTTATATCATGCCATGGTGTTGTGGTGTTTGCTTGGTCACTGCCCGGTTGATCAGGTACCTTTGAAAGTTTTTATCAGGTTCATTTTTGAACAGAGAGGGGTCGTCTAGTTACTCCCCCTTAAGTTTTGAGGATGTTCAAACACTCACGCGCACACCCACGGGGAGGAAGGGGGGTAGGGTTTGCTTGGAGGGTACAGGAACAGACCACTGCAGACTCCTGTTAGCAGGCTAGGAGCTTTCCCGTCCCATAGCTCATTATAAGCCTACCCACTACTTATCCCGGAATATGACTGCCAATCATTTAACAACCAGTTACCCAATCACTGCTGGGTAAACAGAGGCGTACAGTTAAGGATTGGCGAAGTCGCTCTTTCCTGGTTAGGATATGAACCTAGGGCAAATCGTTCACTAGTGCAGGGCAAGTGTGTTACCACTGTGTCATGGGGATGTGTTGGAACTGATTTATTGTCATGTTTTCTCCAAAATGTGATTAACCAAGTGTTTTCTAATCTGATCTTTGATTACTTTAGGGAGCATATGGGTGAATGGACGTAAAGATAAAGCAAGTATAATATGACTATAGCACAGGGCGCCTGACAGCTGAGTGGACAGCGCTTCGGATTCGTAGTCCTGAGGTTCCAGGTTCGATCCCCGGTGGAGGTGGAGACAAATGGGCACCTGATGCCTAGCAGTAAATAGGTACCTGGGAGTTAAGACAGCTGCTACGGGCTGCTTCCTGGGGGGTGTGTAACAAAAAGGAGGCCTGATCGAAGACCGGGCCGTGGGGACGCTAAGCCCTGAAATCATCTCAAAATAACCACTTAGAAAGGACTTAGAGGCTAGGAAGTGGGGTACAAGCACCGAGTAAAGGAATAGTGCCCAACTACTTTATCAATGAATATATGGAGATCTTACAAGAAGTGAGGCTGTTGTATCAACCATTGCAGGTTGTGGCAAAGGAGTATAAAGATCAAGTGCTCAATTGTCCCAGATTTGAACCCAGGTCCACGTGCAAGGCAAGTACAGTATGCCAAACCACTACACAACAGCATTTGGTGAATTTTTGTTTATACATTGCTAGATAAATTTTTTTTATCAAACAACTCTGCTCTACCTAGGGACAGAATTTTGTAGAATTAACTCAGTTAATCCCTACAAACACACAATGTAACGGTCCCTATTGTTACCTTATTACAACTCGTTACAAAGCTGTTAGATCTTGTTATAAAGTTTTTATGTGTTGGAAAGTTGTTACAACTTGCTAGATACTTGTTAGGTGTTACAAGTTATTAAAACATTGTAGCAACGTTGTGCGTTTGATGGGATGACACTAAGGGAACAACGTGGAGATATTTTTTGAGATATATACAAGAGTTGTTACATTCTTGTACAGCCACTAGTACGCGTAGCGTTTCGGGCAGGTCCCTGGAATACGATCCCCTGCCGCGAAGAATTGTGGCAGGATAAGAATATAAGAATATGGATAAATGTGAGCAAATATAGCAATTCTAAGGCATTATGGTAATAGATTTAAATGTTAGTTCTTGAAAGGATGGATGTATTAACCATTCCAGGTTTACCCAGAAGCTATATTGAGTACACAAACACTTGATAGTAAACAAATCCACAAGGGCCGTGATGAGGGTTCAAACCTACACACGGGATGTTCCCAGCTGTGCCATGACATGGTTGTGGCACAGTTGACTAAGGCGCAGCTGGGAACATACCGTGCGTAGGTTTGAACCCTCATCATGGCTCTTGTGGATTTGTTCATTCGATATATCACGCTATTGTGATTTGTGTGTGACTTGATCAGTAAGATTTTCTCTGGTCTGCTCACTAATCGCATTCACTCCTGCTACCTCATCGCAAGATTGAGCTCTGGGCTTCTCCTGTAGCTTCCAGCTGCCAGATTAACCCTAGCTCCCATTGCCTTACTCCACAGTTGAACCTTAAGCTTCTTCTGTAGCATCCAACTTCGAATAACCCTCAAGTCCTATGGCAGCCCATTTCGGATATCTGCACGCCTTGGCTTTTGCACTGATGCCACCTCAAATTTACATCTTTAATTTTATGCCTCCTCTCTTTGGACTTGTGTTCTGGTGCAGACGAGGAGTCACAATAACGTGGCTGAAATATGTTGGCCAAACCACACACTAGAAAGTGAAGGGATTTTTCGGTCCATCCTGGACCATTCTCAAGTCGATTGTGTTCTGGTGATGTTTGAAAGTATATTATTCATAGGAACATGAGAATAAAGGAAAACTACAGAAAGCTTATTGGCCTATGAGATGGCTCCTATTTATATCCATCCATTCTCATATGTCTTAACTATGCTTGAATCAGTCCAGTGATCCCACATCTATTGTGTTTCCTGCTATTTTATTCCATAAATCAACCACCTTATTTCCAAACCAATATTTACCAACATCTCCTGAATCTAAATTTGTCTAATTTCCACTTGTTTTGATTTTGTGGAGCTGTCTTATAATATAATACACACGTTACTTATATTCTTTGCATTTCTACCAACATCAGCTTATGTGCTGCATAAATAATTGAGAGACATTGAATAATTGTCTGAAACTTAACCTGTAATGCTAGGACATAAGATATACAAGACAAGTACAGTACACTATTTTAATATTACAGTATTGACAAAGTATCTTTAATTATAAGAAATGTTTCAATTTAAGTAATCTGAAATTAGTTCCATAATTTATGATTTAAACCTAAACTGTATGTGTTGCCAGGCATGACAGATTTTCTTTGATAGTTTGGCTTAGTTACCTAAACATAAGACAGTGAACTAAAAATCCAATGATGGGAATTGACCTTAAATGATGATAACTCCACTTGTAGAAAATTATAAAAAATAAACACATCCTGTTTAGTAACTTTCATTAATTCTCATTCAACACCGATACCTATTTTTTAGTGATATTAATTCTCCATCACAACACTGATAGAATCGTGAGACTGTGGGAGGTTCGATTCCTCATTAACCAAGTAGCTGGGCAGTAATTGTTGGGGTTCGTCATTTACAACTTCCATTGTTTCTTGAGGCGGATGTTCACCTGTTTCATGTGGCATACTAGAGTAGAGGATCTTGGCTGATTGGGCTTGGATTTCATTACTTTGTGCTAGCTTTTGTTGGACACATTCTTGATTTTGGAAACAGAGAGCCAGACTCTCTCTCAAAAGGGGGTCATGAAGTGTAGAGAGTTCCACTGTAACAATGGCACAATTGACTGAAAAAGAAGAGTTTATAGGTAAGGTAATTATTTTAGAGAAAGCCTTAAGCCAGTATGACTAGCACTTGGAAGGGATACAAGGACAAGGAGTTGAACTATGCAGAGTGAACGAGCCCAAGCACATAGACCATCTGGGATTGACTGCTGAACCTGCAAGATGTAAGACCTTCCCTGTATTGACCAGTTCAAGAGACTGGTTTAGAAGAGTTTATAGTTAAAATATCTATCAAATTACGGATACACAGTAATGTTGAGCTAAAATAGGTACTGTACTGTACAAATTCAGAATAGTAAAATCTTCATTGTTATTATACTGTAACTTTAATGAGCAAACATAATTTTTCTCAAATCCAGAAAAAGTAAAACTGCAGGTACTATAGACATATTAAAGGAGTACCCTATTTTCTGGAATATAAGACGTGCCCATGTAATGCGAGGCTTTTAGTAGAATTTTTTTCATTATATATTTATTGAAAGTAATTCGCAGATACCCTATTACCATGTTCTTTTGTGTAATCAAGGATATCAGGCTTTTAAAGTTAATGTTATGACACTGGTTCCAATCTGCTGGAGAATATGATGAGCTTCTGTACTCCATATCACTGAACTAGAAGCCATTGCAAGTGGTCCAGGCTCTTTTCCACTATCAGGGTAACCACCTATCTACCACTTGTTCTTTGCCATAACTGAAACATATTTTAAATTTTACAACCTATTCATAAGACATGTTCAATGATTAACCCAACACTTGAAATTAAAGTGACAATGTTTTGGTCTGTCCTGGACCAGTTCAAGATGGGCTGAAATGTAGCTTTCAATTTTATTGTGTGGGTCGTGTTATTTGTTTGATCATGTTATGACATTCTCTGCACACAATTATTAATTTGTGCAGAGAATTTGTGTAATTATAGTAATTACTACCTGGACCCTACCCTACCTGGTAATTCGTTTGCTTATTCTTGACTCGAGAATTCTGGGTTTGAATCCCGGGCAGGACAGAAATGGTTGGGCGAGTTTACTATCACCTAATACCTCTGTTCATTTAGCAGTAAATAATTACCCAGGAGTTAGTCGGCTTATTGTGGGCTTGCATCCTGGGAAAGGTCAGTAATTCACACCTGGGGGGAAACCTCAGTATAACCCCAACATGTACTGTATGTATTAACTGGCTGCTTGTCTCCCTACAACCTACACAATTAATTATTATTAATTAAATTTATATTTTCTGAACGTAAGTCCTGAACATACCACGGTTATGTAAGTGCACAGCTGAAATATCAACTGAATAAACTATGGTCAGTCACATATCTTCCACAACCTACACTTAAGTAAAGCACTTGTTAAATATTTAAACTAAGAAATAATTAATCTACAGATAGCCTATTGGCTTATATGAGGCAGTGCCTATTATGTCCACCCAAACTCGCTCACATGTGTGTGTGTGTGTAATTTGCAAATGCAATGAAGCATGCTGTACTTTCATGTGTAAAGGTAGGATTACTTACTTTAACACAGTAAGTAATTATCAAAAGAAGGCACCAAGTATTTTAACAAAAACTTTACTATTATTACTCCTAGCACTATATTCTACTTGCCTTATGTCAAACATTTATTCATTTTTCCTATCTTAACAAGATCCCTACTAATCATGATGCCCAAATTTTTTTTCATGTTAAGATTTGGCAACTTCAGCATTGTCCAGATGGTATCTGGTAATATAATTTCTGAAGCTTAAATCCCTGCATTTGTTAGCACTGAATTTAATCTGCCAATGTTTTGTCCCTATTAACCCTCAGATGATGCAGCTATTTTAAAGTACTACATTGAGGTGTACATGTTTAAAAACAGTACAAAAATCAAATGGGGAAAATTAGCATATGACAATTGAAGCATGGGAGGAAATTGCAGATAGTGACTGTAGGGTTTAAAGACATAAGTCATTTTGCAGCTATTATAAGTGAATTTACTTCCTGATCTATTTTTGTATTATTGACAAATTTGCTAATATTAAAAATGGTAGATATTGTATACTTGATGGTGAACATATTCTAGGAGATTCTAGGACAGAGCCCTGGGTACTTAACTTTAAACGGTTTCCCATTCGGATTAGACTTCATTTATGTTTACTTTGAAATAACCATTCCTTAATTCAACTGAAGATAATCGCCCAATAACAGCATGTGCTCCTCTCTACCTTTCTAATCTGTCTTTCATGAGGTACAGTATCAAAGGCTTCGATGAAGTCAAGATATACAGTAATGTTGTAGCCTTTGAAACTATCAACTATTTCAAAAATATTGAAAAAGAATGAGAATGGAATTTGTTAAACATGAATGATCCTTAGCCCCCAAACAGTACAGCTATTTATTAGTAATAGTAGTAGGCATCCATCAGTCTGAGGAGACTATGAGTTGCGCTCTGGTTGTCGGTCTGGAGTGGCCTCTCCAGGGTGCAAAGCCAGGGCAAGTTGATACAGTAGGTTTATAAGTACAGCACTACATAAAGATGCACATGACTAAAACTAGTTAACAAAACAAATGGGAAAAAATTGCAGACAGTAATTGGAGCAGTGTGAGGGTTAGTAAAGGTAAGTTAGGAATCTTGTTAATCTGTTTTTAAATATGTATAGTACACTATATGAATAGCTTTTGCAATTATTAAGGTGCATATACATGTTTGGATTTAGCAATTTTCAAGGTGGATATAAACACAGGGCTTTTCCAATTAATGATGTAAAATATACAAATGGCTTGTGCTTTTCAAGATACATATACATGAATGACTGTTGTATTCTGCTAATAGTTACTCACCTCTTAATTAATATAATGTCATGAGTTTCAGGATCATAAGTTTTATTTTTCCACTTATGTTGAGTCATGTCACTTTCCCACTGTGGGAACTATTGAATATACAGTACAATACTATACAGCCATCCTGGCCTAGCACTTTTTGATAGTTACTAACTTGTGCTTTTAGGTCCATAATCATCTCTAGTTTTCTACATAATTTTAGGACATATTGCATGATTAATGTTCAACTAATTTGGTTTTTAAAATATAATCAACAGTTATCATAATTATTTTTTAAACATTTTAGCAATACAGATACTGTATCTTAGTAGACATAAAGATTTATTTCAAAAGTTTTTGCTTCAGGTAATGCAACTGTAATAACAATATGAGCAGTGTAAAGGTTAATCATGTTTCCACACTTTATTCACTACTCTACTGCATAAATCTCTTATGTCCTCACCTCTTTGTTGATGAAGTTTACGTTCAAAGGTTTTTATCTGTCTGCTAATGTCATCGAGGACTTGGAGAGCTTTGGTGGTGGTGAATGGCTCGGTGTCTATGCTATTCTGCTGCATGCTGCCCTCTCTTACTCCCTTCTTACTACTCAACATTTTTCCTACAAAGAATGCAACTGTTTGATCATTAAAGCAAAATGATTAAAATTTGCTGGCATGTTCATGATAAGACAAATATTGTTTTATACTGCACTTGATTAGTGGCTTTATAGAAAGATATACTATGTAATGAATCAGACTTGTATTTGTATAAATAAAATATTATATAGCAGAAATACAATCTCAACAGTATTTTGATTACTTATCTAATAATTGGTTCCTTACATTTCAAAATAATAAAACCTCTTACAAGTGTTTTATTGTTAGTAATATATTAGACCTATAAATACTGGTAAAAATTCTCAACATTACTCAAACAAGTAATACACATGGAAGGCCCCTTGTGGCACATAGGGTAAAGTTATCCTTATCCAGATAGTTGCCAATAATGGAACACCAGCACCAAAAACCTACATCACATGTACCAGTGTACAAATGAAACCAGAAAATAACAATCTCTTTAATTACAGGTATATTAAAAAAAAAACATGTATAAACATGAAAGTTATTTATTGCAAAATTGTTAAGAATAAATATTAAAATGTTCAGCTTGCTACAGTTATGTGTACAATTCTTATGAAAAACTAAATTAATGTATCAGTTAATTAGTTCTTAGGTGAATAATATGGGCAGGTTTCTAGAAAGGTATGTTAAACGTAATAAATGATGCGTCCGGATACCAGCACCACAATTGAGTTGATGTTGATAAGGAATACAATAAACACAATTGGGTCGTTACTGACATGCTGCACAATTGGGTTGTTAATATCCAGTACAATTAGGTTGTTACTGATATCAGACAAGATCGCATTTTTGCTGATATCTGCCTTAAATCCAGAGACCAACATTCTTTGGTTCATTGTGTGCATGTGGAACATATAATGATCATTATGCTGTTTTATGAAAGTCTCTGTACTATACTTATTAAAATAAAGAATATAAAATTATATTTTGTTCACTATGAACATCAATAATTTTAAATGGTAATTAGGGCCTTTATTTTGTGCTTTATCTCACCCTCCTCCAAAACCTGGTCCTTGGTATCCTCAAAACACTGGCTCCCCCTCAATACCTGCAGGGCCTCCTTCACACCAGGCCCCCCTCAAAACCTGGTCACCCCCTTCAAATAGGGTTTCCTCGACACGTGGGCCCCTCTCAACACCTGGGCCCTTCCCCCCTTTCCACACGAGGCCCATCTACAGTAACTCGCAGGCAGCACCCACAGTAGGCTTACTTATTGCCCAAGGAAGCCAGGGGATCGGTTCACTACACTGCCAAGGAATACAGTAACACCATCAGAGTCGTATCTTCTTCTTTATAGCAAGTGCAGTTTGCACGAAGAGTCTTATCAACCGGTTGTTGATGTTGATAGGTCAGGGGCAGCTGCAGCACGGTTTGCAGACGTCTATCTGTGGTCAAATGTCAAACAGAACCAGGTCTATTCTATAAATGTATAAACAACAAATTGCAGGTAAAGGATAATATTTAGAGGTTGAAAATGGGAAATAGATTCACGGAAAATGAAAAGGAAATGTGTGGAACATCTGCAGGTCCGCTAGGACCTGCAGAACGCGCAGTCATCGGGAGGACAAATCCTTCATGCAAACTGCCCCTATTATCAAGAAGAAAAAGACCTGCAGAAAGCGGAACGTCAGAGGCACAACGTCGTAACGCCTAGTCCTCCAGGTAGTGGCTGCTGAGAAGAATGGGAAGCGTGAGGTGAGAATTTTGATTGTGAAATAGGTCGTAGCAGAGACGTATTCGGATGGAACCGTGCACAAAAAGGAAATATGCCACTGTTTCTTCGTGGAAGAAACAGTCATGGCAGTCTGGCGAGTCCAGGAGGATGTGGAGATGAGCCGCCAGCCTCATATCCTCAGCAGAGTGATTCGGGGAATCGGAACCAGGCCCTGTCCACGGGCAAGGGAAGGTAGATGCATCAGTGAGTGCCAGACGACGTGGTTGCAACCGGGGTAAGACCTTCGTGTGCTGCAAGGACGCAGGAAAATCATCAAGAAAGGTATGTTAAGATAATTATGAGAATTAGCCAATGTGAGGGTATAGCACCTGAGAGTATCAGGAAAGATAGAGTAAGATAATTATGGGGAGAGATTCAATTCATTTTCTTTCTTTATTATGCAGCCCATACCCATCCCGTGGGCGGTGGTGTAAAGGATTACAGAGGCACATAATCGGTTCAGGAACTGAACCCTCTAGAGAGAGAGCTAAGCTAACATGATTATATCGTATTTGAGAGCATCAGCAAAGTTTCTTGGGATTTCATAGGGAGCGAGCGCCTCCAAGGGAAGGAAGGGAATTATCAGGAGAAAGCACCAAGCCATTACCACTGATTCCTTGAAGCTTGGGCCAAGGACGCCACCACATCCACCATGTCAATATACTCTGGTTCAAGGGAGTCATCAATCAAAGGAACAGAAGGGTCGTAAGAATCGCAAAGAGCTTCTCCGCCAAGCTCCCGTGATCAGGAGAAATCGTCCAGGATTGGCACACAACGACAGCTGGTGGAAATAAACTGCCGCGGAGGTCGAAGGAGGGTCCAGGAGGACAGGAAGGTGGTCACTTCCCATGCATGTAACCTCCTGTTAAGACTTGAGACAAAGGGATCTCCTCCCAGCAGCAGGTCAAGCTTCGAAGAGCTGGTGTGGGGGTTGAGGAGCGCGAAAGATGATAGAAAAACAGTGCTCCTTGGATTGTGATCGTTGTGAGAGCAATGGTTGCCAATGCGAAACACACATTAAAGTGCTTAGAAGCAAGGAACTGCTACTGCAGTTAGCTCCGCCGGGTTTAATATTATGGCACGGGTTACATACGGCACACCAACGACCTCCAGTGCTAAGCGAATTGTCATCATTTCCAGGAGATCCCCATTGGAAAAGAACGAAGCCGTATTCCCACATGGGATGCCATCACCCACCAGGAGGAAAAGTTACCATCTTCCAGGGTGATTCATGCGAAAGACGCAGTATCTCGAGACAGAGAAAAACATGGAGGCGGAGAGCCAGATCTCATATACTCCCACCGCAAGTGGAGATGTGTCGGCCAGTAATATCCGGAAATCCTGTGTCTTCCACAGGAGCGAGTGTGCATTCCCGAACAGAAAGTTGGGACGAGGCTCGTGTGTCATTATCCATGGAGGAAGATGAGTACCTGTGTACATGGTCTGGTGCAGACCACTCCCAGGCGCGACCTTCCATAAATGACTGATAGGCCTCTATATAGAAAACATCAAAGTTCCGGTGATAAAAACTTCACATTATTCTTCAGAATGCATCAAAGTTCCTGTGATAAAAAATTTGCCACCATCAATCATTAAAGGAAGACGTAATTTATCAAATAAATGCAATTTATGCAATTTAAAAAACATTTTGGCGTCCCATTAGTTTTATATTTATTTACATTTTTGAGTATTATAATTGTGAGTATTATTATTAAAATAATATTCATTATTTTAAATATTATATTTTTGAGTATAATTACTCAAATAAAATTTGATTAATTATACTCAATGTGATTTGAGTATATTTTGATGTGATTTTTTTTTTTTAGTAAATTTGATTGTTTCAGTGGAAAATTTGATTGTTTATGTTGGCAATTCGATTGTTTCTGTGGGAAATTGGAATATTTATGAGAGGATATTTATTTATTTATTTATTTATTTATTTATATATAAGAGTTCTTACATTCTTGTACAGCCACTAGCACGTATAGCGTTTCGGGCTGGCAGAATCCTTAATCCCAATTTTTCCCCGGGAACACGAAATAAATCCGCTAAATCGTTTCACAATCCATTCACTTCTAGGTGAACAGAGGCTACAGTTAAGGATTGGCGCCCAGTCAATCCTTCCCGGACGAACCCAGGTTACAGCTCAATCGCGAATGCGATTGTTTGTGAGAAATTTGATTAGTTGTAGGAAATTCCCACAATTTCTGTGTAAAGTTATCTGTTGTGCAGGCCAAATACTGACATTAAAATACACATGAAATTGTTTAGATAATTTTTAAAACACTGACATTAAAATACGTAAGTCACTCTTTAGGTTTGTAGTTTCAACCATGATCGAAAGCGCAGTGAAAGAACCACCAATCTTAAACCAGTCACCAACTCCAAGAAAGAATGGGTGAGGCTGGTACAACCTGTCCTCTCGAATCTTTCATCTCGGAACACCGCATTTTTGACGTCAAATACCTCAATGGACACAACACAGGATGGGTATGGGGTGCATAATAAAGAAAGAAATTGAATTGAATTGGACACAATATGATATATGCTTTAAAATAAATTATATAACGGCTCGCAAAATTGACACGGGCTGTTACGTTATGTATCCGCAGGTCCATCGGTTAGGTTAAGCTAGGCTAGGTTAGGTTAGATTAGGTAAGGTTAGATTAGGTTAGGTTCGGCTAGGTTAGGTTAGGTTCGGCTTGGTTAGGTTAGGTTAGACTAAATTAGATTAGGTTCGGCTCGGCTAGGCTAGGCTACATTAGATTCGGGCTAGGTTAGGCTAGGCTATAGGTACATCATTTTTTGTGGCGTGATAACTCTCGAGGACGGGCTGACTCACAACCAAGATAAGCTCAGGGACAAATCCAACGCGACCACTGTTTGTCATGGTCAGGTCAGCGCTCAGCATAAACCTTGTGTAGACACTAATACCTTTGTATAAGCAGTATTGCACCTGTTAAACAGTAATAAATTTGTTTAGATAGCAATGCATTTCTTTAATTAAACAGTAATGTTTAGACAGTAATGCATTTGTTTAGACACTAATACACTTGTTTAAGCAGTAATACACTTGTTTAAGTAGGAATATGTTTGTTTAAACAATAAATCACTTGTTTAAATAGTAATATACTTGTTTATGTACACTTTTATAAATTATTATTATTATTATTATTATTAACAAATAACACACTTCTTTAAATAACAATAATCTTGAACAGGTGTATAGGTGTGGTTGGAGTGAACAGGTGTGGCTAGAGTGAACAGGTGTGGTTGGAGTGAACAGGTGTGGCTGGAGTGAACAGGTGTGGCTGGAGTGTATAGTTGTAACCAAACTTACAACTCACACTGAGAGTGGTGAGATATATATTCACTGTATTGAGAAAAAATATTCATAAAGTTAGAATGATGAGGCTTGCATAGGTTAACTAGCATTGCAATTCCCTTAGCCTGTGAATCTAATTCTAGATTATACAATGTATAATCTAGACAACATCTACGTGCTATGCTGTTATTGAGACTTACGTATAATTAATGTACTCTATTTTTATGTATACTAGACCAGTTATAAATGTACAAGTTTTTATGACTATAGATTTTGATTATAAATAAAAAAAAGTAAACAAATAATTATAAGATATATTTACAAAACAGCTACTTAAAATACGAAATTATTTACAAATTATATAGATAATATGTATTACATTAGAGTATTTCCTATGTTAACATTTTAAAGAAGTATGCTCCGAGAGCCGTATTTTTTCTATATACAGTATATATAAACACACACACGCACACACACACACACACACACACACACACACACACACACACACACACACACACACACACACACACACACACACACACACACACACACACACACACACACACACACACACACATATATATATATATATATATATATATATATATATATATATATATATATATATATATATATATATATATATATATATATATATATATATATATATGCTGAGTGTAATTTAGGCCTGAATTATATTCAAGACTAATATATACTTGCTAGTTATTCATTTGACAAATACTGAGAATCAATGAGGCACAGTCTGTGCCAAGGACACATTTAGATAGTCAGGGTCACGCTGTGAGAGAGAGAGAGAGAGAGAGAGAGAGAGAGAGAGAGAGAGAGAGAGAGAGAGAGAGAGAGAGAGAGAGAGAGAGAGCAGGATGAAGATAGCATATCTGCAACATGATCGACAGATTTAGCAAGGTGAGCCGATACACTGCGCACGCATGCATGCAGTATATATACCCCACCAATGCTTAATGCCTAAACTAAACTTCAGTCCACTCAAAACAGAAAGAAAATTATTAAACAAACGGCTTGCATTTAGTGTAAGGAAAACTCATACGTCGGATGTTACAAAAAGCGTGTTCTTATCAAGGTCAGGACGTGTTTAGCATTTCCAACGGTTGCCCTTGAAAACATATCGCCTTATCTTATCGTTGCGGTGTCGTAAGGTACAAATGCGGTTTTTTGTGGCTCTCTTTGGCTCTTTGGGTTGTCCTTTGTTACCCCCATTGGCACTCTAAATGGCTGTTGTTACTGTAGGAACTAGTTTAGTTTTTTATTTTAAATTTATGAGTCCGTTATATTGATCCAAGCGCGTTAGCTGATTGGTTGTTAGTCTCCGAACGGGACGAGACTAGCCTATCACAGAATTAGAGTAGTATTTCGCACTTGGTTGTCGAATGCCAAGAGTTAACATCATTGTTACGATGTGTTTGTGTTATATTACGTAATATAAAGCCTAGTGGCTTGCGGAAAAATGCAGGTGCTGTATAGGCATTGTGAGGGGAGAGAGAGAGAGAGGGGAGGCACGTGGCTGAACTTTCCCCCGTGTAGACGTACACCAGGCTCCATAACACGCACACATCTCGAGGCGTGTACACACACAGAGTGGCGGGCTAGACGGTGACGCCGGCGCACTACGGCGGACATGCACACACACGCGGCCACCACCACTACGTCGCACGTGTACACGCATTCTTACCCGCGCTCTTGGGGGAGAGAGACATCGCTCACTGCTTCCTCTGTTGCCTCTCACTGGCATCGTCTGGCATCGTCCCTCGCTAACAACCATTTACCGCTCAAACAACCACAGGTTCCCGTAGGATCTCTTGAGATACTGGTTAATGCATCCTAGGTTACAGCCCTCCCACGCGAAGGACCTTGGTAGAGTATTACATATCCCACTATACCTCTGGCGGCAGCCGTCACCTGCTCTCTGCTGCTTCAGTCGTTGCTGGGGTGTTGGGCCGGGCGTGTCACTGTGTCAGCTGGCACTCTCTCAACTACTGCCAGGAGTGCCACGCTCCTGTTTGACAACAGGAGGCACTATATTGTACTTGGTGTTGTGAGTGTGCGCGATGAGATAGCCTGAACGTGTGTGTACATATGATCAACAAACAGTATAACGAGTGCTGCCGACTATAACCAGGAGGTTCAAGGCCATTCCCCGTGAACTTCACCTTCAGGTCCCGGCTCCCACACACACCTGATCTTGTTGTTGAGAACAGGAATTGCAACATTGCAACTTGCCACTAACGATACAATTGCACAACCAGAAATTGTGTATCTTTCTAGCCTCAATTGCAAGAGATTGTGGTTGTACAGTACAAGGGGAAAACATTGTGTGGCATTGCAACATTGCAGATTGTCACTAACGATACAATTGCACAACCACGAATTGTGACTCATTGTGTATCGCTGTATCGGTGAGATTACATACTTCAAGTGGAAGAAGTTATAAGCTTGTGACTGTATTTTACAAGAAAAACATTGTGTATGTTCTGGTGTTTTGAGAGGGCTCTTGTGTCGAGGTCTGAGTATCCGTACTGCGTGTGCCCGGGAGACCCTCCTCCTCACAGGTGCTGAGGGCGTTGATGAGTAGTGAGCCGGACGGACATGAGAAGAATGAATGAGAAAGCGTTGTGTGAACCCCTCGTCTCCTCATCGGTCACGGGAGCTGACGACACCATGTACGCCTCGCAGGAGTTCCCCTTAGACCAGGAGTTCCCCTCACATGAGTACAAGGATTTCTCCTCCTCCTCCTCATATCAATACATGGAGGCACCTCATTACGTGGCGACCAATCAACAACCAGACGTGAAAGTAAACCCCATAGAGACCAAACCGGTTTTTGAGGAGGTTTCCTCTTGCGAGTTTGTGAAGCCTGTCTCTTGGCATCACGAGGTCACAAGCGAGGCCGACGTCAAGCCTCCAATGCCTGTTAAGAGGGAGGTGGACCTCCATATAGACGGAGGGGCTGAAGTAGGGACAGCTAGTGTGATCCGATGTGTGGAGACCAGTATGCCGCCTCCTGATTCACACTGCTACGACCCGAGAGGCCGACGACCATCGGGGGAGTTCGCACGACCTCTCGATGTTCCCCGCGAGGTCATACGAAGCCCCCACGGAGCCAGATATAGGGATATGCGACGACCCCACGACCCAGCACGGCCGGATCAGACACGCCCACCGGATCAGACGCGCCAGGAGCACCTGAGGGCATCTGAATGTCCCCCTCCGACGCCCATGTCACCTTCGACCTCCACAACCTCTTCCTCGGCGTCTTCCTCAAGTGCGAGGCCGCGTGCATCAGGGAAGAAGGAACGGAAAAAAGAGGATACGGATGATGTCTCAAGCTCCATCCCCGACCTAGGTGAGTTCTCTGATGTTCTGTTTCCCCTCACTTCCTGCTGGGGATTTTATGCGTTTTGAAGGGAACCCAGAGTTCCCTGCTGGTGGTGTTCCCCCTCAGATGTTCTGTTCCCCTCACTCCCTGCTGGTGGTGTTCCCCCTCAGATGTTCTGTTCCCCTCACTCCCTGCTGGTGGTGTACTCCCCTGCTGGTGGTGGTGTTCCCCTTACTCCCTGCTGGTGGTGGTGTTCCCCTCACTCCCTGCTGGTGGTTTACTCCCCTGCTGGTGGTGGTGTTCCCCTCACTCCCTGCTGGTGGTTTACTCCCCTGCTGGTGGTGCTGTTCCCCTTACTCCCTGCTGGTGGTGCTGTTCCCCTCACTCCCTACTGGTGCTGTTCCCCTCACTCCCTGCTGGTGCTGTTCCCCTCACTCCCTGCTGGTGGTGTTCCCCTCACTCCCTGCTGGTGCTGTTCCCCTCACTCCCTGCTGGTGCTGTTCCCCTCACTCCCTACTGGTGCTGTTCCCCTCCATGCTAGAGCTGCATACTTCATGATTGGTCTGACATATGTGGTATACAAATTTCTAAATGATTCCTTATACAAATTTCTAACGGCAGTTCTGATGTCAGCCAACCTCGCATACGCCTTTGATGATATCTGTTTGATGTGGGCTTCAGGAGACGGGTTCGGCGTGATATCAACTCCTTGATCTTTCTCTCTGTCTATTTCGTGGAGGACTTCGTCTCCCATTAGGTATTTTGTGTCTGGCCACCTGCCTCCTCCTCCTCCTCCTCCTAGCTTCATTACCTTACATTTATTTGAGTTGAACTTTAGTAGCCACTTTGCTGGACCATTCCTTCAGTTTGTGTAGGTCGTATTGTAACCTCATACTGTCTTCCTTTGTCTTAATCCTCCTCATAACTTTATGTTGCTTCAGCTTCCTCAAAGGTTAAAACAGTGTGTAAGATCAAAGCACTCCCAGGTGATGAAGATCAAGGTCCTCCCAGGTGATGAAGATCAAGGTCCTCCCAGGTGATGAAGATCATGGTCCTCCCAGGTGATGAAGATCATGGTCCTCCCAGGTGATGAAGATCAAGGCCCTCCCAGGTGATGAAGATCAAGGTCCTCCCAGGTGATGAAGATCAAGGTCCTCCCAGGTGATGAAGATCATGGTCCTCCCAGGTGATGAAGATCATGGTCCTCCCAGGTGATGAAGATCATGGTCCTCCCAGGTGATGAAGATCAAGGTCCTCCCAGGTGATGAAGATCATGGTCCTCCCAGGTGATGAAGATCAAGGTCCTCCCAGGTGATGAAGATCATGGTCCTCCCAGGTGATGAAGATCAAGACCCTCCCAGGCTAAAACAGAGAGGAAGGCCCATGCTCTCCCAATCTAAAACAGTGAGGAAGGTCACGGCCCTCCCAGGCTAAAACAGAGTGCAAGATCAAGACCCAGGCTAAAACAGTGAGCAAGGTCAAGGCCCTCCCAAGCACCCTCCCAGGCACCCTCCCAGGCACTCTCCCAGGCACCCTCCCAGGCACCAAGATCGATACAGAGCCATCGCGTCATTTCCAAAGCCGACCCGGGTTACAGCACGGCCAGACGTACCTCTGTAGTATCTCCTCCCGACCCCACGCGCGGCATGATGGGTATATCTGGACCCATAATGCCGCGGCATTGATGGGCACCACCCATGGGGTAATCCCCATTAAAAGCTGTCTTTAGGAAGGCTAGGTATAGTGTGCCTTGTGACGTCATCACCGGCCATGGCCAGTGATTGGTCGAGGCCAAGGTTAGTGCCCCCCGCCTGCCAGGTGCGCGATGGCTCACCTTCCTGCTCAGGATGGAGTGGGGGGAGAGGGAGGGGTTCATTCCCTCATTCATTGGTGATTCAAAAAAAAAACCTCAGTTGAGGGGAAAATAGTGGACTGTATACATGGATGTATATTGTGTATATTGTGGCGTTAGGTGCCCGGCCAAGCGTAAGAGGAGCCCCTCGTGATTCTAAGTTGAGGTGTGTAACAGGTTTCTTCCCCCCCCCACCCCCCACCCCTAACCGGTTTTCTAGGCCAAGTTCAAACCAGAGATAGTTCTCAATGTCGTCGCCAGGGTGAGGGGAACGGCGTCAGGGTGAGTGGGAACGGCGTCAGGGTGAGGGGAACGGCGTCAGGGTGAGGGGGAACGGCGTCAGGGTGAGGGGGAACGGCGTCAGGGTGAGGGGGAACGGCGTCAGGGTGAGGGGAACGGCGTCAGGGTGAGGGGAAACGGGTGAACGTACCGACTAAGAAAGGATAAGAGATAGGAAAAGGGGGGGAATTAACATACTATTTTTGCCTGTATTCTCCTTCTTCTTTGGAAAGATTTATTTATAAGTTCCCTGATATGTCACTTTTATTTTAAGGAGTTAATCAGTACGTTCAAAATGCGACGTGTTGGTAATGATTAAAGCACGGCAATACTGACGCTTTTTTATGTATCGGCTGAACGTGTGTAGTGAGGCGCCGTTGATCAGCCATTGATGAAATGTCATTCACTGCTAGCTTTCATTCACACACACACACACACACGCGTGTGTGTGTGTGTGTGTGAAAAATTAGTTAGTAGTTAGTAACAGTTGATTGATTAACAGTTGAGAGGCGGGCCGAAAGAGCAGAGCTCAACCCCCACAAGCACAACTAGGTGAATACACACACACATACACACAGGTGGACAGACTGCATATTTTTTGAATTTGCCAGAAAGCCTTTGACACAGTACGACGTAAGAGACTAGTGCAAAAACTGGAGATGCAGGCAGGAGTGAAAGGGAAGGTACTCCATTGGATAAGGGAGTACCTAAGTAACAGAAGACAGCGAGTCACGGTGAGGGGTGAGGCCTCAGATTGGTGAGGCGTCACCAGTGGAGTCTCGCAGGGTTCAGTCCTTTGACCTATACTGTTTCTGATATATGTAAATGATCTCCCAGAGGGTATAGAATCGTTCCTCTCATTTTTTGCTGATGATGCAAAAATTATGAGGAGGATTAAGACGGAGGAAAATAGTATGAGGCTACAAGATGACCTAGACAGAGTGAATGAATGGTCCAACAAATGGCTACTAAAGTTCAACCCGAGTAAATGTAAGATAATGAAACTAGGCGGAGGAAACAGGAGGCCAGACACAAGATACCGAATGGGAGATGAAGTCCTTCATGTAACGGACAGAGAGAAAGATCTAGGAGTTGATATCACACCAAACCTGTCTCCTGAAGGCCACATAAAAAGAATAACATCTGCGGCGTATGCGAGGCTGGCTAACATCAGAACTGTCTTCAAGAACCTGTGTAAGGAATCATTCAGAACCTTGTATACCACATATGTAAGACCAATCCTGGAGTATGCGGCATGGAGAATGGAGCCCGTACCTTGTCAAGCACAAGACGAAACTGAAAAAAGTTCAGAGATATGCCACTAGGCTAGTCCCAGAATTAAGAGGCATGAGTTATGAGGACAGGCTGCGTGAAATGCACCTCACGACACTGGAAGACAGAAGAATAAGTGGAGACATGATCACTACTTACAAAATTCTCAGAGGAATTGACAGGGTAGATAAAGATAAACTGTTTAACACGGGTGGAACGCGAACAAAAGGACACAGGTGGAGATCAAAAGAACATGGAAGAAGTAGAGAGAACACAGAACAAAAGAAAATCACAACGCATACAAAGAGGCCAGAAATTAGTACACAGCCGTGTGAATGACAAGGTTATCACACTTGACAAAAGTGAGGGAAGACACACGGAAAATTATAAGGTAACATGCGAGGAATTCAACAATCTTTCAGGAAGTATTCAAGCTGGAGTTACCACTAGAGCCAAGAGCCCAAACCGTAGGGACAATTCCAGAGGAAGGCCTCACTGAACTATCAGTGACACCAGACGAAGTGAAGGAGCAACTACAGCAACTGTATGTGACAAAAGTCGTGGGAGCAGACAAAATATCGCCGTGGATAATACAAGAGGCAGCTGAAGGACTGTGCTGCACAATTGCCATATTTAATACCTCTCAGAATCGGGAAAACGTCCTGACTGCTGGAAAATGGCTAATGTAGTGCCAATCTACAAGAAAAGGGAAAGACAGAAACTGTTAAACTGTAGACCCGTATCACTAACTAGTATCCCCTTGCTAGTTGCTAGAGAGACTGGTCCGAAGCAAGCTAGTAGAACATTTAGAACAAATCAATTTGGTCTCAAGGCACCAGCACAGTTTTAGTAAAGGAACATCCTACTCGACAAACTTACTGGAGTTCTACGGTAAGATAATATAAATCAAACCGGAGAGGGAGATAAGAAAGGGCAGACTGCACGTTCCTCGACAGTCGGAAAGCATTTCATAATGTTCTGCAAGACAGACTCCTACTCAAACAAGAGAAGCACACTAGTTTATTGGGAAGGGTTCTAAGGTGGGTCATGGAGTATCTCCCAAGAAGGAAGCAAAGGGTTTCGGTGCGGGGAGAGACATCAGGATGGAGAGAACTTACGGGTGGAGTACCGCAAGGGCCGGTTCTAGGGCCCCTCCTGTTTCTTATATATATGTCAACGCTCTGACAGGAAATTGGCTCCTTCATATCAATGTTTGCAGATAATGCAAAACTAATGAGAAGAGTCATTATGAAGTCATTACACGACTTGATAATGGTCTGGACGGACCGAAACGTCGGCGTTTCTTAATTTTCTGATGTTGGGTTTGGCCACCAGGACAGAGATACAATGTGAGGCATTGTAAACAGATTTGGGCATACTCTAGAAGCGGTCTGCAAAATGGATGATAGAATTTAACCCAGTCAAATGCAAACTTACGAGGACTGTAACAAGAGTGCGAAGACCAGCACAACAGTATAGGATGAAGGGAAGACAGATTCTTCAATCAGAAAGAGGAACACCTGTGAATGGTCATAACCCCAAATCTGATGCCAGAAGCCCACATGAGCAGAATAACAACAGCTGCATGTGACATACCTCACCACCTACACCCAGCACCCACCTA